CCTCTTCCACAGAGTCAGCCATATTGTTTCTACAGTAGCCCAGAACGGACAAACCAAACACTGACTCTACATAGGGCTATTAGCATTTTCACATTGGCCATCTGAGTTCTCCTACATGTTTGCCGCACAGGAGAGGTTTAAGTTCTGCAAACTCACTGCTAGATGCCACTAAATCCTACACACTGGACCTTTAAAGCAATCAGATAATAATATATCAGGCAACATTAATCACATTCATAAACATTTGTTATTAAGATTCCCTAAATTTGCTTTTGTAACAATGACCAATGTGCTGGGCAGGACATTTTACGATTAAAAAATAAACTTCACGACTCTCTGGAGGACACACTACGGAACAGTGACGCTATCTCAAAACATACATTTGTCATTTCTGTAATTCAATTTTTTTGTCATTTATCAGTGGACATAGACACAGATACAGATATATCTGCAGTGAGTTAATATTAGATAATGTAATGGCAGTTACACAATAAATTATTCATTCATTTTCCATAACCTCTCTTATTCTCTTGAGGGTCGCGGGGGGGGGCTAGAGCCTATCTCAGCTGACATTGGGCGAGAGGCAGGGTACACCCTGTACAGGTCGCCAGACTATCACAGGGCTGACACATAGAGACAGACAACCATTCACACCTACAGACAATTTAGAGTCACCAATTAACCTGCATGTCTTTGGACTGTGGGAGGAAGCCAGAGTACCCAGAGAAAACCCACGCTGACACAGGGAGAACATGCAAACTCCGCACAGAAGGGCTCCCCATCCCGGAGTTCAAACCAGAACCCTCTTGCTGTGAGGCAACAATGCAAACCAAATAAATTAACTCACCAATAATTGTAGATCTTAAGTGTCCAGCGTGAAATTTTTTGGCAATATTTGGAGAGCTGCAACATAAAACAGATTAATTGTGTCTGATGGCAGTCTATAAGGGGAAGACACTGCATGTGGTGTTAAAGGAGATACACAAATGTTTGACAAACCCACCTGTACTCAACTAATGTTGTTCCTCTCTTGAGAGTATTTAAAAGTTCACTATTCAACCCAAATTTCTCATCCTCCTGCTTCCCAAATGGCTCCAACATTTTCTAAAACAGATGCAGTAAATCAGATTATAATCACAGTAGAGGCAGTCAAGTCTGTTGTTTGTATCACAGTGGAAAATGAACCTGACAAACCTGGACAAGGAGTTTGCGATTCACTTTGAAGTTGATCATTCCACTTCCAGCAGATATGTCTTCCACCACACTGTCCTGCTTCAACTGAAAGATAGAAAGCAGATTTCAAGGAAGATTCAAGGCCCTGTGTCTTTTTGAGCTCGGGAAAGTAATAAACAGAATAGGCGAAGAGTGCATCTAAAAATATACTACTAAAATATACTACTACTATATATTCAAGTGTACTTTACATTGAATAGAATTAAAAAAGAAGGAAAAAACAGAAATAGGTAACAATAGCAGCTGTTCAAGAAAAGGCACACATAAAAAAAAAAAACATTTCTAGAAAGGCTACTCCTGCAACTAGGAGCATAAAACAAAATGCCGCTTTACAAGGAAGCCAGTGCAGTCATTTGAGGACAGATGTACAGTGATATGCACTCTTTTCATAGCTCCTGTGTGGCTGCAGCTCTCTGACTGATCTGCATTTACCCCATAATCTTCTATGTAAATACCAGAAAAAGATCATTATCAAAGTCTACTTTATAAGGTACGAATCTGTGTCCAAGTCTCTCTATGTCTGTTTTCAGTAAGTGTATTTTAAAAAGGTTATAAGCTGACCTCGAAACACTGTTTATATGTTTGTGGAAACTGAGAATGTGCACTGAGAGGGATATAGCGATTTCTGATGTCTTAAGATATAAGGGACAAGGAATAAAGACACCAGAGTAGCTGCAGCTGATGTTAAGCGCTACCAATGTATAATATGCATGCAAAAAAAAAAAGTAAATCAAGGATGCACAATATTGGATTTTTTGCTACTATTCGATGCCAATATATAACAACTCATTTGGCCGATAAGCGATACCCATATCGATATATCCACTTCATCAAGTCTCTTCTGTAGTGGAATTAACATCATATTATGCATGCATACTCTTATTGTAATGGCCCACCAGCAGATGGAGACATGAAATACAACACTTTTCAGTGTATGTTATATTTGCTCATTGTGCAAAATAAGAAAAAGCATGTTGGCCGATTCTGATAACTCATTTTAAAGTTGATATGAACTGATACTGATGACATGCTGATATTATCATGCATGCCTAATGTGAATCACTTTAGACAAAAGCTGTCTGATAAATAAATGTGATGATAGATGAGCCCTCATTTGTCATTTCTTTGCCTTGGCATCAAAAAACATCAGCTTATTTTGTCTTTACTTGGGAGTCAATCCACTGGTGTAGGTCATTTTAATACATTGTATGTGTGAGATGTGGTGGCAAAACAAAACATATTAGATCTGCTGTTGCCTTCACACATGAATCTCACCCGAGTGGCCAAGTCTTCTGTCTGCAGCTGAATGTCACCACTGGATGGTAAAATCCCACTGACCCGTAATGTGCCGATGGACAGTTTGAAGTCAGCAGACTGCCTGAGGAGCACAAGTTCAGACAGCTTTAACAAGCTGACACACACAGAGCATCTGACTCAAACAAACAGGGTTAATGTTAAACACACTTAACTGTTTCTTAAAAACTGGAATTGCTGACAGAGCTGGTATGAAGGCATCTTCAGACTGCTGCAGCGTCTGACCCAGCTACACATTGAAACACACAAAGAGGGGAAAGAATTCAATAAAAGGAAGCGTGAGACAATATTATAGAGCACAAGCTAACAGTCATGTACCAGAATTAACAGACAGTCCTGCCTCCCTGTTGTTGTTACTCCAGGGTCAAGGCATGCTGCTAAGTTAGCATTAGCATACAGTGTTATCTTTAAACTCTTCCGGCTTCCGTACCTTTGCTGCTATTCTTCTTCTAAAGAAACACGCCATGTTCCGCAAACATTCAAACACTAAATAATGATAATAAACAAGTTGCAAAATTAGCAACAATCAAAAGCTGTGTGGTGAGTTCATTCACATTTACATAACTAGTGTACTTCCGCCCTCGTCACTCCACTTCCTGTCAGCTCGTCCAATCAGAGGCTTACTTCTCAATCGACGTCAGCAGCTAGAAAAGGTTCGTTGGATTATATTCTCCGTTGCTCCCGACAGTCTGCATCGTCTATCCGGTAATTTACAGTCTTTCCCAATCGTTTAGTTCATTTTTCCTGTAGCTCAAGTTCTCAAAACTCTAAACCGGAAGCGGAAAGGGGTTAAACCATTCTGTCAAAATCGTGGTCAAAACTCAGAAAAATCTCACAGGTCTCTTGCAAAATGAAACACCGCACTCAAAACCATCTTCTCTCTTCTCAAAACTGATCCTTTCAACAAAAAACAACACACACAGCTGTCACTGAGCATTAATTAAACACTGGTGTAATACATTTAAAGCACTGTCTAAATACTGTTAATATATGTTTTGTCTTCACGAGGCCATGTTACACACTCACATGTACAAAATGGTGTAGAAATTGTTTACTTTTCCTCTTTAAAAAAATAAAGGGTTTATTTTGTCCCAAATTAAGCTGCATTTTCTTGGTACATACACTATAAACTTGCCATATTGTAATACAGTACTGTGAATATACCATTCATATTGCATTGACACAATTATTGTATCAGCATAGTCAACAATGCACATTCCTCTGAGCTCCCATCACAACCCTGCTAAAATACACAACTGATGCCTGTTTTGGCCAAACTTATAGTAACTGAGCTCAGTGCTGTAAAAGTATCTGGTGATGTAATGATGAAATCAGTGCTCAAATACCAAAAAAGGTAACACAGATCATATTTATTTGTTACCGTAATACATTATCCATGTTGCTCCATTTAACCCCAACATGGTAGAAATTACTTGAGGCCTTTTTGTGCTCTGGCACGTGATGGAAGTGTTTTGCCAAATGAGATAAGTGTCGAACCAACTAATAATTAGGGTGTCATTTTGGAATTCCCCTCTGGGATTAATAAAGTATAGGAGTTTTGTTGTTGATACACGAGCTTCAAGTTTTCAGGATTGTGTGCATGGTTCCCTTTTTTGTGTGTGTGTACAATAGAAAAAAAACAGTCACCTGAAAACAAGGTTTCGAACCTTAAATGTATTCCACATCAATATTCATGACATTTGTGAATGTGAAAAAACATCCTTAGTATTCTTTATTAGAGGCTTAACGACTCAAACTCAGGAAACCAGCTTCATCAGGACTGTTGGGTGCGGTTTGATCTAACTTCTTGGCATCTCCTTGGCAACAAAAAAAACCCCAACAACTGTCAGTGCACAAATAAATCATCTAAATATGACATTGCTAAGCTCTGATTAGTGCAACTCAAGTTAAAGATTTTAAGTCAAAACACTCAAGATTTTTTAAGTCCAGGAAAAAGCCAACGAGAAAAGTGTAGACAATTTCTATTAGAGGACATGCTTGTTATAAAAAACACAGAACCCCGGGTATGAAACTCACAGGGTCCGACATGATTAACCAATTATATGTCACCAGCATCAGAAAATAATGAAAAAGAAGGTATGACATTGACTAAAATTAACAATTAAAATCCTAATAATTTTCATGACATTGAGCCGTCTGCTTTTCATATTTAATCAAGATAATAGTAATCTATTTTGTAGCCAACTTCTTTAAGTGCAGAGAACAGTTCCATGAAGCTTTAAAATCTTCCATCATTCTAAGTTTTCTGCAGAAAGAAATAGTACCAATGACAAGTGTTGGGTTTGTGGAAACAGACTTTGCTGATGAGACATGAAAGTCAAACTAAATTCAGCTCCCCTCCACAGCTCTGTTCTGGCAGCATGTAGAAATCAGCAAAGCTTCTCAGACTTGTGTGATCCGTTTAAAATATGAAAACACATCACGAACTCAAATTTGTGTAAACATTTTATTGTTTACTTTTCTTGAAACAAAGCCCCTTTATACCTACAGCAAATAAAACCATGAAATTTTGGTACAATGAACAAAAGTCAAGCAAAAAGAATAAAAAAATACAGTGTATACAAATGTAATAGCAGTTTACTGCCAGTACAGTTTAAAACAATGCTGAGAAAAACCAAGAGGCCTGATCCTGGACTCCAGTCTGGAGACGTCTTGGTTTGTCCACTTGTCAACGTTCAATCCCTTTTTCAAAATGTACATATAGAGAAGCTGCACAGCTAACATCCTCTCTGTGAAATAACTAAATCATCCAAAAATAAAATCAAAAGGCCAAGTGTGAGGTGGCAGTCAGCCTTTTACGATGGCATCAGAACAAAGCCAAATAAATATTGACACGGCAGTTGAGAGGCCACTGGTCGAGTCACAGAGAGTCCTTGAAAGGGGGTGGCAGCAGGAAGCCCTCCTAACTCTGGTAGACACAGCAAACGTGAATGCCACAGACTGAGTCCACATAGAGTCGGTATGGCACAGCTAGGAGAAAAGTCCGACTGGACGCACTGAGTCCCTGGAGTAGCTCGAAGCAAAGGGTATTCCTCAATATCAGGTGCTGACACTCAGGAAACATCTACAGAAGAAACAAGACAAGAGCGTTAACACATTTCATATCATTATGAGGACATGGCTTCAGAGCTCATGTCTGGGACTCGTACAGGACAGGAGTATAGGCTGGATCTCTAAGTCAGACCTGCATCCCAGGTATGTAACGGTCTTCTGGAAGTTTATACAAACTCAGTTTTACCAGATGTCAGGAATGTTCTGGGAGTTCCCAAACTTAAAACAAAGCTTGGTTTAGAAAAAAAAAAAAAAAAAAAAGCCCCTAAAACTTCTGCTCAGCTAAGATGGAATAAACTTCAGCAGGAAGTAAAATTGATCACCACATTTCTACGGCCAATTGTCAAATTTTAAGTCCGCCATTGACTAATCCTGTACCCGCTAGATTTTCATCTCGTCTCCACAGGTCGCATGTGAAAGAGAAAGTGAATGGCTCTCATTTGTTCTCATTAGTCGGCACCAGAAATACGTTCACTCCCATGGGTGGAACTCTGTGCACGTCTGAGCAACCAAAACAAGTCTGCAGCTTTCCACTGATGTGCTTAAAGTATGTCCGAACATGACACTTATTCAAGCTGGCTGGAAGATCCTGAGAAGCCTGGACATATGCGTCTGTGTGTGTGTTTGTTAGGTATGGACTTTAAATATACAGTAAATAAATATTACTTGATAACTTTTAGTCAGTTAGGGTTGGGGTTTGTAGTGCCACACATTTCAGCTGTAGTAAAAAAAAAAAAAAAAAACAATAATTGTTTTTTGATAAATAAGATAAATAATTTTAAATGGCTCTTATAATATACACAATATTTATCAGCCTTATACATTAAATTGTGGTAAATTCTGACTGTTTTCTGAGGTTATTTCAGTTTAGACTAGTCAACTAGTGTACATTTAAACTTCCATTTAAATGTCAGGGAAATTAGTTGCTGGAAACATCTCCAACTCTCAATAATCACTACGGCTTATGTTTGTCCTGATGTTATATTAGAATAGTTCAATTGAAACTGTGAGCAAAACTGTCTCCATCTAAACTGATTCACACAATGGGGTTTAAAATTCGGCAGAGGTTTGACCACCGGGATTCACACCAGTACTTGTTTTATAACCGACTTTGAAATACAAAGTGAAATGCTAAGCTGAGACTGAGGTTTTCATTAAAACTGACTGGACACACGAGCATAAGCTAATCGTGGGGCATTATGACAATGGCTAAGGACACTGAGTAGTTAGAGACTTACAACACACTGCAGTAAACACTGCTTGATTAAGACACTACTGATATAGTGCACTACTAAACCTCCTCCTCACCCACAAAGCCCTCCACTGCCAGGCCCCCTCCTACCTCACGGACATGCTCCACCACCACACTCCCTCCCGCAACCTTCGATCATCCGACAAAAACCTCCTCTCACCCCCACACAGGACCAAGCACAGAACCTGGGGCGACAGAGCCTTCTCCATAGCCGCCCCCTCCCTCTGGAACACCCTCCCTATACACATCCGTGACTGTCCAAATCCATCCACCTTCAAATCACTCCTCAAAACCCACCTTTTCAAATCCACCTTTAACCTTTAAACTTTAGCTTTTCGTTCTCGGTTCCTCGTGCCCTCCTTTTCTTTGTTTTGCACTATGCTTTTGCACCTTGTTGTTTTATACTGTCCTTGTCTTCTGTCTGTGTCTTTGCACTTACATGTATGTACTTCTTTTCTTTGGTTTTAAATGTAAAACGTCTTTGAGAGCTGTAAAAGCGCTGTATAAATAAAATGTATTATTATTATTATTATTATTATTATTATTATTATTATTATTATTAAACCACATTTCCACTGCTCAGCTCTACTCGACTCGCACGTTTTTGGTTATTCATTAACTAAAGTTGGGGATAGTATCTGGTATGTTTTTTTGGTGCCACTTCGGCTGAGGTTTGAAGCGAGCTAAGCCGACACAAGAAGGTGGAGTTAAAACACTGCAGACCACTGATTGGTGAGAGAGAAATGTAACTTGTGCCACAATACCACCATTTTTATATAGTAACTAGGGCTGAACGATATGGAGAAAATTTCATATCTCGATATTTATGCCAGATATCTCGATACCGATACGATACGATATGACTATGGGTTCAGTGAAAACTAAGCATTCTTTATAAAAAATTAAAAAAAAAAAAAAAAAAACGAGTCCGAACCATTTTCTGGAAGCCCCCTTAAGTGACTGAATACACGGGAATCATGTGTAGCAATATGGTACGTTATAGCATTTGTAATGTCTTTGTGCCTGCTGGACGTCGATTGGTATGGCAATATGCTACTGAATGCATCGGCAATCTGACCTTGCTTGGGCTTGACACAGGAGGACCCAGATGTCCCTGCCGTGTCTTTTAATGCAAGGCACTGTTCATACAGTCCTCGGTAGTGTTGTCACGGTACCAAAATTGGGACCCACGGTACAATACCAGTGAAAGTATCACGGTTCTGAGTAGTATCAGGATACCACAGCCAAAATGAGGCAGATGTGCCTTTTGTCATTTATAAAAAGATAAATCACTTTTCTATAATACATCAATGATATTTCAGTGGAATAAATTACTTATTGACTTATTCATACTTCAAAAACAGCATCAATCAGTGATTAACATAGGGGGGATCAAAATAAAATAAACAAATAAAATAAAAATCAACCAGGCTCTTCACGTACGGTGAAACGCCGGTAAACCACGTTATCTTGCGGCGGCCATAGCGCTCCGCCGTATTCCCGTCTGTGACCCCCGTTCAACCCACAACCGTTTCGCCTTTCGTTTCTGCTGCTGGTTGAAATCTGTACTCACACAGCGTGCTGAATGATTTAATTTGCTCGAACAAAACTATTTTTAGTCACAAATGTGTTGTGTTTACTAGCAAGTTGCTAGCAGCAGCACGTCTCCCTCGCTCAAGGGGATGTTTGTGATTGGCTGGCTTTGTTGTCGATCCAAGGCAAGCAGGAAATGAGGTTTGTGATTGGCTGGCCGTAGCTGTACATTTAGGGCAAGCGTAAAAAGGATGTTTGTGATTGGCTGAGCTGTACATGCAGGTCAAGCTGGGGAAACTCATGGGGAAATTATATCGTCAATATCGTTGCCTTTTGGGATATTAATGTCTTGCATGTTCATATCTCGGTATAGATACAATAACGATATATCGTTCAGCCCTAATAGTAACGCTACCGACAACAGCGGCCACAATTTTTTATTTGCTGACCCGATTTTTAGAAATGGCAGCCTGCAAAACTACCCTGTACACTACGCTGCACAAGTAACGAAGTGCAGATGTTTCTCTGTTTGGTTGCAGATGAATGGATTCAGCAGGTGTCTCAGTGAAGATGATTTCACAGCAGTTTCACACAGCGTCGCTATGGCAACCAGCTGAGAATCCAGAGGGGTTACTATCTGCACTGGAAAACTGAAACAGTGACGAGGACCTAGTACCAAAAGTGAGCTGAATTGAACCGAACCATGCAGTGAAAATGAGGTATGATATTTCACTGTACCGCTACCGTTATGAAGCTTAGCCACACCTCCGACAGCAAGCTACAGTCCGCTGTGCAAAATGTAAACACAACACGTGTGCAGTGACTCATGTAACAGCTGACACAGACAGAACAACAGCTGGACCAAAATCTGCTTTTAGGAACTGATAAGCAAAAAACAAAATTTCCTAGCGAATGTCCAGTTCTATAAATTTGGAATCAGATTCCAATTCAAAACATGTACTTAAAACTCAACTTCATTCTTAAATTTCTACATTCAGTTGCAAATGTTGTGTCAGGCTTTTTATCAGCAGATACTAGAGGCTTTTCTCATTTGTCTATTTTGTGCCTTCTCGTCTCCTCTGTCCAGCCTGTGACCCAGAAATCAATCTCAGCACGCCATCTTAAACAATGTCACCATTCCTAAAATGCACCTCAAGGAGAGAGAGTGAGGAGAGTTGAGGCTTGCCGGAGGACCTATGAGCACGAATGCGCAGGTGTATCCTTTGAGGCAGTCTTTTCAGCACCCGTGCCGTACAACAGATGTGTGTCCAGCGTAACACTCAGCAGATGGTGCACCTGTGCCACCAGTCATTTTTATTTGAATGTAACTTTAAAATGGTGGCTCAGAAAACACGGACGTCTCATCTTCTTAATGCCTGCTACCTTGACTGCTCTCTCCTCATGTTTCCTCTTTGCCTCCTCCATTAGGGAGAGGGACTAAGATGCAAAAAGAGGAGGCAAGGAAAGGAATCGAGGATGTAAAAAAGTGTAAAACGAGAAAAGTGTTTTTGCAGAACATAATGATGTAACAGTGAAGTTGACCTTTTGGATATAAAATGTCATCACTTCATTATTTTATCCTGTTAGACATTTGTATGAAGTAATGTCATGATTAGCATATGGATTCTTGAGTTATGGTCAAAATCATGTTTTGTGAGGTCCCAGTGACCTTTGATGACTAATATCTAATAAGTTCATCCTTGAGTTCAAGTGGATGTTTTTGCCAAATTTGACAGACAGACAGACAACTAGAAACCATAATGCCTCTGACCACAGCTATAGCTGGCATGAAGGCATACAAAGACAAACACACTGGGGAAAGTTTTGTAGAGATCATAAATGGGCTACAAGTGTTTGGCAATAATAAATATACTCACAGCTGGCAGGCTGCTCTCCAAACCTTCGCATCAGTTGATCATGTGTGAACTTGACAAACGCATCATATTGCTCTGTTGGAAGAACGTACACGTATTAGCACACAGTGTGGATGACTCGTGACAAACTGCTGTTTTAAGAGCCATTTTGGAAAAACAAAACAAACAAAAAAAAAACATACCTGCGAGCTTTGTCGTTAGTATCTCGTCGTACTCCTCACGGATTTTGTCCTCTCGCTCTTTCAGCAGTCTTTCACAAATCATCCCGACCTGTCTGAGGGAGAATAAAGGCTGCTCTTTTCTGGTGGGGGATGAGGCACCCAAGGATGTACCTGTTGGAAGAGTCAATATCACACTATTAATACTGAATATATGACATTACCCACTGACAGAGCATTGCAGCATCAGGCTGATATTGTGATAGATATTACATCATCCTGTTTTAATGCCAATTAGGTATGGCAACATATTCATGCTTTGTATCCGTCTCTAATACATGATGTACACTCCCCCTCGGAGCATCAATGCATTTGACTCCATAATGATGAAAGTGAAAGAATAAGGGGGCTTTCCATCTGGAAGTTTTGTTTCACTCCAGGAGTTGGCTAAGGATGTGGGATTCCCCATGGTTGTCAGCAACTCAAAAGATAGAAAACATCCTAATTTGTTGGTGTAAAGTAAATTGATATGTCAGTCATTGGTAAGTAGGTGCTCCAAATCAAATTAGTCTCAAAAGGGAAAATGGCTAAACAGGGAGGAATCATTAAGAGATGACAATATGGCTGTTCTGTCTCAGTATCTGTCTTGCCACTATGTGCCTATGTCATGTTGTCATCCTAACCAGGAGCTAAGCCAACTAATCCGGTGAAGTGATCGGTTAAAATCATTTGTAATAACTGGTCAATGTCCTCATAAGACAGTAGCTACCTGGTAGGGCAGCTCCACTGTGGATGTTCTGCAGGTCCAGAGGACAGCAACTCTCTGCCTGCTGGAAAGCAGTGTCCAGGTGTCGTCGCTTCTGCAGACGCTTGTACTCCTGTTTGATGTTGTGTAGAATTTCCTCTGGAAACAGAAAGGTAAACACTTCCTTCATTATATAACACCTCAACACAGAGATGTTGCACTTCTGTGAGACAAAACCACTGCAGAATTCACAAATCTGTTGACTTAATGTGGCCTTGCTGATGAATCCAGGTACATCATGACTTTAAAGAGACTGTAGTCAAATACTGCTTCAATCTATTAATAACACAGCAGCATCACAGTACTTGCATTCCTGTTGCTCCCACACTAACTTTCCCAACCCACTGTGAAGTAATACTAAAAACCAAATACTGAATCATAGAAACTACCAGGAAGTGTTTGCTGAATTTACACCTGGGAGATTCACCACATCATAGACACCGGTACACACGGGGTAATGCTAACGTTGTCCAGTTTACAGTAAAGCCTGGTTTTACCGTACTGAACTTGAAATGACACTGAAATATACGATGTGGATTTAAACTCCTACCTGTGGTGAGCCTGGACGACACTTCCCCAAACGGCGACGGCTCCATACGCAAATATTTCTGTGGTGAAGAGACCGGGGACACCATCGGGGCGCACCTCCTTCTTTTGGGTGAAGCCTGGCTCATTAGCGGATCAAAGTCCAGAGTCCTTTTCAGAGTAGCCCCGCAAGCCATTGCGCTAAAATGTGTCGTAAAAAACTAAAACAGAAAAGCTAAAACCCCCTGTTATTTGGGAAAGTGGCTAACCTGGGCCCCGGTTTATGCTGCTAATGCTTGCTAATGTTAGCTAGGTCAAACGGCAGCAACGGTTCCGGGCGGCGGACAAAAACGCAGTTTTATCGTCTCTCGTTGCCTTCTGCTGACAAATCTCATAAAGATTACGTTACGGAATATATATTGACTTAACCTCGATTAAATAAACTAGGATAAATTTGCTAGAAAATCGGATGATATCAGATTTTGCACCACTACCTCTGCGTCGTACCTACAACGGTTCAGACTAGTTTACCTTTTCTTCCGTTCATTTGATCGGGTATGGGCATGCGCAAAGAAGCGGTCCCATGCTGGTACTTGTAGTTTTTGTTCCCTATCTCGCCCATTGATTTAGAACCTTGAAGACTACATTTCCCGAAGACCTTGAAGCGGTCGTTTTTTGAATTTGTTTTGTTGGCTAACAAAACACCCTAAACCACAGCGAAGTTTCAGTTTCACTTAAAACGTGCACATAAAGGCATTTAAAGGTACTTTAAACGCATTTATACAAAATGCTTAATATGATATTTGCAGTTTGTCTTTAGACAAAAAAAAAATCACACTATTTGAGCATTATTATTTCTTTTAGATAACGAATTATGGGTATTTTTCTGTCCAAACCAGACTTTGGTCCTTCAATAACCTTATGCATGCTGAATTTTCACATGGCGTTCCCTCAGTCTAACTAATTGCATTGTTATTCTTACACTTAAAAAAGCTTGTGCATTAAATGTATACGGGAGACCGGGTTAGTTCTAACACTTTTTTCAGCACCTGTAAGTCACTGAATTTTTGTGCAAAAGCTCTCAAATTTTGACACAAAGTACCCTTTTGTGTCTACTACAAATAGCAATGTTTCCAACTTCTCAAACTATATCACAGAATTAATTAATATATGTCAAGTACAAGGAGTTCATTTGTTAAAACCTGCCCTACTACCGGGAACAGTTATAACAATAAGTGTGACAAATTAAAAATTACACAACTGCTAAAAATATAAATGAAAAACAGATACACTAATGATCAGTTCCTACCAAGGTCAAGCTTGCTAACCTGTACCTGTCAGATGCTTAGTGACTTAGGTTGAGCGAGTCCAAAATACAACTGATGCCTCAGTGAAGTAACCAGTCATTCTCTTGCTGTGCATATAAAGGGCTCCAGGGTTGATGTGTTTCTGTAGACTGATGCGGAACCTCGCATTGCCCTGGTTCCCTCGTCAAAATTGGATTTTTTTTCCCATTGGATTTTGGATTACTGCAGAAAATAAGCTCTCTGGCAAACAAACATTTATAATACTTACTTGCCTAAATGCAGTCATCAGAAGTAAAAAGCTAATGTTAGGCTATAAACGAACTACACCCTGGTTGCATGACCAAACATCTCCACCACAACAAGACTGTAAAGCCGTGTTCAGCATGATTGTTCTACAGTCTCATTTAGCCGCTTGTTAGCAACCGTCTTTTTTAAGACACATAAAAACTTCAAAATTCTCAAGTGGTGTATTTACTGACATATTTTATGTCATAGAACAAAATGTGAAAGTCTCTTAAGCTTGCGTTAACCACAGACATTATTTCAGGCATCGAAATAATAACCCATTCAAAGAAATCCACTGAACCAGGAGTGGTAAAATACTCAAATCTGAGTTTAAGAACTTGTTCCTGGGGCACCGTATTGACTGGTGTGATAGCCCACACCTGGCAGCTGTGTTGATCCTCTTTCTCTGAGTACTCTTAAAGCACAGACCCTACTGTCTTTCCCTGCCTCACCTTATCTGACGCAGATTTTAGTATGCGTGCAAGCACACCCCCATCAGTTTTCCTCCTCAACTCCCCAGTCACCTGAAGAAAGGAGTGAGATAGGAGGAGAGAATGTGTTTAGTTAAGTTATAACACTAATCAAAATATTGAAATGGCCACAAAAAGTTACTTTCATACCTGGAAATCTGTGTTTTGGCTGTAAAATCTGCACACTTCCTCATATTGCTTAGACATTTCACATACATGTCAGGAAGGAAGTGGTCATACTTGTTAAACATGACTCATAGGTAATTTTGTATTGAGGAAAGAGGTGCTGTTATAACCATCCTGTTTTTACAACCATACCCAGTCTCATCTATATTCTTATATTTTATAATTTAGTAGTTATAGTTTGGTACTGTATGTCTATAGCGTATTCTAGTATGCTCTGTAATTTATAGATTATCTATCTATCTATCTGGCCAATTAATAGGTCGTAGAAAACTCTTGCATCTTGGTCCAATCCAGGGCTCCAACAAACTATTATTTTCACTACTGATTAATCCGCCAATTGTTCTCTAAATTATTCGTTTGGTATATAAAACATTAGAAAATACTCCACACATGGTGGAGTAAACCTGCCTCATGGCTTTTCACAGATTGGCGTATTTGGTAGATAAATGAACACAATCCTGTTGACATCTGTGTGAACAGATGTTGCAATTTCCCTGTCCCCTTTAAGCCAAGAGATGAAAAGAACAGAGCAGATGTTAGTGCCAGAGGATAATGTGCCAGCTAGTATCTTGTAATTTGTCACTTTGGGGGGTTACAAGAAGTAACCACAGTATTGCTAAGAAAGCTGAAAATCGATGTGTAGAAATGTTTTCTCAGAAAGGCTGCCACTAGTAACAGTGTGAGATCTTCCACAAGGGGGCACTAAAATACCACTGATGACTTCAGGTTGCCATCAGCTCAGGGATTGGCTCTCCCTCTCCGTGTGTCTGTTCCTCTTGCATCAGTGATTGTTGGGTGAATTTACCAAAATGTGCTGTGACCTCTGGTTCCAAATAATCAATCAAACCACTGCAGGCGAAATGACAACCAGCTGCAACTTTATTCGAAAGTTTGAAAACAGCAATACTAAAAACACTTGACTGAGTCTGGTTTTTAAGCCATAGATTCCTCATTATGCCACCACTGTACAGAAGCCACTTGACAGTTGACATTTTGATCTTCAATACTCAATAATACAAGAGGCAGCAAAGCATACTGATAAACAGCTGTCTGGATAACTTTACACCAAGATAAATGTCTACAGAACAATTGTGCTGTGAGATTTCTAGATTAAAAGTACTACATCGTCTATTAGAAAAGTCACATCTTCTCAGATTCTTTTGTAAGGTCAGCTGTCGAGTCTCCACACCACGCACACACACAGACTTCCATCCAAGTAACCAGCTAACGACACGACCCTTGTTTCTTTGTTTAGATAAGTAAAATTAACAGCAGACATATTTTTATTTAGAGTTACGCCAAAAGTACTTCACTAGGCCTGTGCATGGGTTGCTTTTATTTTCCGAAATGATGCCCCGCTGCAACAGTAGCACTAAAACAACTCACTGCAATGATCAAAAGGCTCGGGGTCGGAAATATATCACCAAGTCACAAGGTATCACACACATAGGCTGAATCCAGTTAAAATCATACATTGGATGAAAGCAGCTATAGTCAGTTTGTTACAGTAGTGACCAGCACACTGCGTCCAAATTCGGTTTGGATGTGTTCAAGCTTTGGCCAAAGGCCTGTTGTTGTTGTTGTTGTTGTTGTTGTGTTGGCTGTAGAGCTGAATGAGTCGATCTGAACACTTTATTTTGCAAGAGAACACTGTACAGTTGTTAGGTATACATTTGAACAAAGACACGTCACTCTAAAGGTCTAACGGCTAGCGGGTAAAGAAATGGACAACAGGGACGATCGTCACTCTGCCACAGAAAATGCCATTCCAGATTCGACACGCTCACAATCCATTTACCTCCATCTCGTCAAGAGTTTATTTGTGATGGTGATAAATATGTTCTTTTTTTATCTTGAGCATGAATCACCTCTCGTTTCTTAAGATCTCTTCACACATTTTGCCACTCGCTGAGTGTTGTCAGAAGTAAGAAGTAAAAAAGTGACACGTTTAATGGCAATTTTTTTTGGAAATAAACAATCATTTGAACTTTTTTTTTTGTATCATTCCCTCATAGAAATGCCAATATGCAACATGTACATGAAGCCTGTAGAAAGTCAAGACGCGGAGATTTGTTATATTTATGGTGCAAGACACATTTTAAAGTCTAAATGACACAGTAAAACATCTCGAATTAAAAATGTCAGTAGCCCCTTATCCCATAAATGAAGATATATTGTTTTCAAAACCTGAATTCACAGTACAAAAATATAATATGCCTTCACTAACTGGATATCATGAAGTCTATGGTAAACAGCAGACTTATGATAGTCTTTGATAATCCTTTCAAATTGTGAGTCCTTCCTATGAACTTGCAACACTGTTTGGCACTTTGGCACACTGTGTACTCACAAACCGACGTAAAATAATGCAACCACTTAAGCGTCTATGTGAGGATGTAAGTCGATACTTTCAGGAGAGGATTTGTTTGTTTTTTTCTCTGGAATATCTAACTTCTGCTTTATTGTGTTGAATGGCATTGTTTGGGGAGGATGACATTTACACAGTTTCCCCCCTGACGGCCAATTAGACAGCCTCTGCAGAAGTTTCAGTTGACACAGACATTGTTACTTTGGCTATTTTCACAGTGGTCTTCACGCAGCTCTCTGCAGCCCTGTTGGCAGAAATGTTGGCATTTCTGTTCTGGCAGTCTGACTCGAGGCTATTGTCCAACTGCTGGGCACTGCCCCTGCAGGCATGGCAGGAGCTGAGGAAGGCATGCCGCAGGTCCTTGCTCCTCAAGGCGTAGATGATTGGGTTGACAGTGGAGTTGAGTAGGCAGAGTATGCTGCAGAATGCAAATACTGTCTTGATGTCATCGTCCATTCGCCAGAAGAGGTCGTACACCATGATGGCGAGCACTGGGCCCCAGCAGATGACCAGCACCGCCAGGATGAGCACCAGGGTCTTGGCCAGACGGATGTCCATGCGTGCCTGCTCAGGGCGTGTGGTCTGCACTTTAGTCCCATCTGCTGAATAAACAACAAGGCTCTTCTGGGAGGTGCGGCTCAGCATGCGCACAGCGTGGTGGTGTGCTTTCCACAGGATGTATATGTAGGCGTAGACAATGAAAAGAACCAGCACGCTGGTTACACCGATCCAGAACAACAGGTAGTTCTCATCAATCAGAGGGAATATGTCTGAGCAAACAGTATTGAGACGTTTACAGTTCCAGCCCAGCAGAGGTAGCACTGCGATGACGATGGAGATGGTCCACATCATACAAAAGGCAATGACAGCCTTGGTCCGTGTGACGATGCGCCTGTAGGCGAGAGGCCGGTGTATGGAGATATAACGGTCAATAGCA